TTAAGGATTGTAAAATTAATCGCATGCGTTAACGATGACAGCCCTAATATAAATATATAATGAAGTAATTTAAAATAGTATAAAATATACAGTATATAATATAACAATAAATACGTAAATTTCTATATATAATAAAAAATAATAAATTTATAAAATAATACAAACCTAAATATATTATAAATACATATCTAATATAAATAAAATGTATAATTAATAAAATCTATTTAAAATTTTCAACATTCTATATACCAGGTTAAGACACAAAACTAGACTAACAATTCAAATACTATATTTGAATATTTAAAATAAATAACATAATAAAGAATATAAACAATAAATGATGCAATAAAATAAAAAATTAACTTTTTTAACATTTTACATTACAAAAGTTACACACACATATGTAAGTATACATAAAACATTAATATAATATAATTAAGATAATATATAATATAATATAATATTGCAGTATTTAGTAAATAGAGAGCTAGTATTCTATCAACCATAAATACAACAGCATTTGGCTTTTGTTTGTTGTAAATTTATTCATTCAGCAGATGCTTTCATCCAAAGCGACTTACAAATGAGGAAACATACAAACATGAGCGATTACTCACATGCAGCCAATACCAGCAGTGCCACAATACACAAGTTCACGCGCTGCCTCGATTCAGAGCTGGGGCTTTGAGTGATAATACAATAATCATACAACAATGTCCTGTTTTTATGCTTATTACGGTATGTGTGCAGGCTTTTCTGTGTCTCTGTTGAGCAGGAAACAAACTGATGCTTATTGAGTGATTGATGGCAGCACGGATGACGGACAGCTTAATGAGACCAACAATAGTTAAAATTAAATGTCAATTAGTGGCGCAAATTAAATTCCCTCCCTTTCATCGAAGACCTGCTCACATTTCCCTTCCATCTCTGGAGAACTACTGTTAAAAAGACTAAATAGTTTCCTCTCTCTAGTTTTGTAGCAGGCTGACAGTATCATAGAAAAAGAACGATATCTGGCTTGAATTCAGAGCAGATCGTAATGGCACTGGCAGTGACATGAATATGCACAAATTGTCAGTTTTCCAACTTTTTCTTTCTCTCTCTCTCCGAGTTACGTCTCTGTGTGCCAACATTGAGACAATAATCGCCATTCTATATGCTATCTTATGCTAATAAGGACACTTCGGCTACATAATATATGCACGTCTGACTGCATTACTCAAGACAAGCTTGGAAAAACATCAGTACCTGTCTTTGTCAACATCAGCACTTGAACTGAAGCATTTAAAGCTAAAATAAGAAATAGATCATTGCATTTGCAAACAAATGACACCCGATCAGTATTCTGTCATTCTGCAAAGCAGGCGTATCTCAGGTGTACACATGTACTGTATCTGTAAAAAATATATAAACACTTCAAAAATCCAAACACGTTATTTCATTTGTGTGTGTGTGTGTGTGTGTGTGTGTTTTATATATTTAATATATAATTTATTATTATATATGAGAGTTTTTTGGCCTGTGCCCTCCTTATGCTCCTGGCTTCTACTTACTGTATAAACAAATGTAGTCATTTAGATGAAATGTAAATATTTATGTATAAACAATGTTAATATTATTATGCATAAACAAACATATTAACATATCAATACATATGCATATTAATATTAATACAATATAAATCAAATATTGACTAATATTTTAGTATATATATTAAATAAATAAATAAATAAAATAAATAACAAATAAATAAATAAATAGAAATTACATATGAATATAACATGGGCAAGGTGAATAAGCAAGATCTCTATTCTTGAATTTCTATATAGATAAAATATTGTTAAAAAGGAAATGAGTCAAGCATGTAAAAACATAAATTCTATAAACACACACACACACATTAAGCATCGCTTAAAGCGTCCTCTTTTATTGCTTTAACATCTTTTTTTTTTTTTTTTTTTTTTTAATTTTTTTTTGGTAAAAATTGTTTTAATCCCCAACAGGGGACAACTAGATTTTAAATTTAAAATATGAATAAGTGAAGATTAAATGTGTAAATATGTAAGTACACACCAGCATTTAATTGTCTTTCTAATAGGTACAGTTTCACAACCTCACAAGCATTATCTTTCTCAATGCATAATAATATCACAAAATATATTTAAATTTAGCTTGAAATAGCAAGACTGCAATTTTTATTAACACATTACATATCTGATAAAGTAGTTAAAAATCAAACCGAAAAGGCACCGTTTGACAGAATGACGCGTCTGCTTGCGGCCGCTGCAAAACAGCCCAAAAATCCAATGCGTCTGACCGGCTTCCAGACAGCCGATCCTGTTTGCCATTGGACAGCACATTTCTGAACCCATCACTGCAATTTCTCCAAGCTGGTGGGATTCCTGAACTTCAAAATGAGACTGACACTCATGCTGTCCGAGACCTGATGCCCTCTTTCCCCGAGTCATTACGGATCACGCAGCAGCCCTGTTTGCTGTCAGAGCTCCAATACGTGTTTTTAAGCAGCTCAGATTTATTTGAGGAAAGGCTAAACACATCCTGACATCAGTTATTTTATTTGGAACCGTTCTCCCCTCTATAATTTTCAGCAGGTTAGTCTTTGTGTAAGCGCTCTGCTCGTGGAAGAAAGAGTCAAAGCACGCGTGGCACTAGAGACTAGTCTTATTGTTGGCAATAAGACGGAGCGTGAAATCGCATTAAGAGTTGCGGCTGAGGTTCTGCCACCTTGTGCTCTCCAGGGCTTGCTGGGATACGGTTTGCCGGGAAGGCGAGACCAGCTGAGCTCTTGACACCAATCTAACAACAGTCGGATTCGTCTCGTCAGCCGGAGCAGCCAGGTGTGGCGTTTGCACAGGAAGTCATGCGCGTGCGTTTATTTGGACTTCCTGTTTCAGTAGAGCCACGGCAAGGTGCGAGTCCCAACTGAGGACGCTGGGTTTTAATTACGACTCAATCAGGGTAATAAATTACACAGCGCAGCAGAGGAGTCTCACACATAGAGAGAGTGGATTCATTGCTTTTAGTGCACGAGGCGATATGGAGAAATAAAAAAGAAAAATTATGAGCAATGCACAAATGGGGAGGAACCTCATGAAACATGTCCAGCTCATATACTAGAAAACCTAAAGAATCAAATGAGAGAATATTTTAAAAATAATTTTCTGCCTATAACGCACGTCCCCACCTCAATTTCCCATTGTTGTGATTTAAATAAAATGAAATAAAAATAATTACATTTAAAAATATACAATTAAATAAATTATCAAATAAAAACTAAAGGATAAAAGCTAAATTAAAAGCTAAAATAAAACAAAACAAATTAAATAATAACAATGACAAAAATAATGAATCAATATGAACATTAATATTAACTATATAATAATATTTAAATAAAGTATGTATACATCATTGTAGTATTGTGCACAACCTTAAATGTATTATTTTATTTTACAAATAAAAAAAAAATCTATATCTGCATTGCATTTTTATGAAAACAATAAGAAAATTAATATGAATCGCCATTAAAATAATGTGAATTACAAGAACTAACGGTAACACTTTCTATGAAGCCCGTATTTATAATACATTATAATACATTATTTGTGGTTATAGCTTTTAAGAGTATGATGATTTATAACACAATGAACACGTTGCATCCACTTTTACAATGGATTATATTTCTCATAGTTATAATGCATTATAAGTCTCATATCTTGCCATTTTTCTTATGCTACTTTACTTAAAAAGTAAGTAGTAATAAGTAGTAATAATAATA